TGAGGATTAAGAAAGAAACTCACCAATCTAGCAGTTTTCCACAGAGAAACCAAAGAGTACCTGATACACATTGGAGGAGGACACTCAGTTACCTACTGAGTCGGTTTTTCTTTCCACACCGTCAATTACATAATGGTAGATTTGGTTATATTTGATACCCCTTCATATCAGTTTTTAATACGATTTCAGATAGATACCAATTATTCTGTCTGCTGTAATGATGTATTTCAAAATCTGATAAAATGATTCTGGCAGTTAGATAAGTGATTTGATCTCAAATACAAGGTACCTCCCTGAATTTGGATCAAATCAGTTTATCTCAACCAGATTGAACCGGGTTGAGTTCAGCCCATATTGACTAGATAAGCTCAACTAAGTATGGTTTGATATCATTTACATGGAGAAAAAAATGTTCCTTTGAATCCTTGAAGAGCTCATTGGAAAACCTTAATTTAATTGGGAATCATACTGAACAAGGAAACTAGGACTAGGAAGAATACTGGCCAATCTCAGATATTTCATGTATCAAGTCCCCAGAAATTTCATGTGAAGATACTACTGAATTGGAGAAAGACCAGTCGATTGAAGCATGGTGCATGTGTCCAATGTACTACATGTGATGTGGCTATCCCTTCATGAACCAAATGAAATATATAATCATTTTGAATTTGAACTCAGGTTGAGTGGTGACCAAATCTAGTGCCTACAAACCAGCTCAAAATTGAGGGAACTCCAAGCAACACTGGGCCAGCTATGCTAACAGTAGCTTTAGCATAGCATAGTGTTAGGCCTTTTCCGCTACATTACGGCTATTGTTAGTGTAGCGGGCAAAAAAGGACCACACTACAAAAAGAAAAAGAAAAAATAGAGTAGCTTTAGCATAGTGTTAGCAGCTGTCAGAAAAACTGCTGCTAACGCTACCTGATCCTTGGGATAGCATTAGCGTGGGTGTTAGCGTAGAAAAATGCCATGCTAACTGTTAGCGTAGAAAAATGCCATGCTAACTGTTAGTGTAGCGTTTGTCTACGCTAACACAGCCTTGTCAGATTGGCGGGGGCAAAGGTGA